CAGTGACTAGAACCATTCTGTAGGCGGATGTTGATATCACCAAGAGGCAGGACAGAAACCGTATAATGAGAATTACAGTGAGTCAGGTGCAAAAATATTCAAGGGATGAAGAGTGTCCTGGTGGAGGGGAAATGACTTCACTGAGGTTGGTAGCAGGTGGTGTGGTCTACACGGGGTCATGTGAGCATGAAATGAGCCGGTGGACTCGAAGTTCTCAGCACTGAGCACACGCTCTACTTGTCTTAGCGGTTCTCATTTTGACGCTACGTGGTTCCAGAAAGCAGAGTTTAACCCCCTAGTTTATTTTTATGGAGGAGTTGATTTGTCTTCATTTTAAGACCTTCTAAGGGGCAGAGCTGTTCACAAAGCTATGTGCACCCCCAGGAGGTGGTAAATTCCCCATCACTCTGTGTATCCAACAGACAGAATCAACTTCTGCAATGACCGTGCTGCAAAGGGGATTCTGGCAACTGAAGATGATGGGTGGGTGGATGAGTGTGGATCTGACGGTTGAAGGACATGGGGAAGGGGGAAAGGTGGTGTCGGAGATAGCTTCGCTCTTTCATTCAGACACAGCTGAGCACGTACGTACGGTTCCGGACCTGGCCAGATGGAGGGCAGGCCAGCAATAAACTGTAAAGGAATTCTCTGTCCGGGTGGGACTGACCTGCATACGGCTAATGTCACATAGTCTGATGAGAGCCAGAACAGGCACAGGGGAGTTGTGTGTCAAGAAAGTCTTCAGAGCCCACGGGCACTTAAGCTGGTGCAGGAGATGGTGGGGGGCTGAGTGGGTATAGTCCCATGTGAACGGGGAAGGAAAGGACATTTCATCAGAAGGAACTTTACTTGCAGGGAAACAGGGTGAACGAGCATAGGGCATTTGGAATGTCACCACTGAGTTACTCTGAGAAAATTACTCCTCTTCCCTATGCATAATTTGGGACAGTCATGGTGCGCTCAGGGGCGGGGATGGTGAGGGGTAAATGAAATGAAGTCTATAATCTTTGTCACAGCCTACTGTAATCCCTTTGGGTATATTACCTTACTTGATTACTTAAACAATCCTATGAGATAGGCTTTTTGATTATTACTCCCATTTTACAGATGGAGAAGCTGAGTCTTAGAGGGGAGTAGCTTACCAGAGGTCATGTACCTGGTGAGAGAGTTTGGACTCTGCCCCAATCCGACTAATCCCGGAGCTCTTAGCCTCAGCCCCTGTGTGCTGAGCACACAGCTAGTACTAAATAAATGGTAGCTGATTGCCAAAGTTTCTCACGTAGAGAATTGGAGATTCTGTTATAATTCCTGTGGCTGGTTGAAGTTCACCACTGCTGCCATCTTATGAGCTGCAGTGACTACTTCTGGAAGACTATCCTCACCTATGACAGATGGACATCATCAATTGGGCCACTTTTGTTTCAGCGACTTGGTTTTTGGAAATCAGGAGCAGGGAGTGGCTGTTATATCCTAAGAGTACAGGTTGTTCGGAGCAGGTGCAATCCATAGGGGAGCGGTTGATCCGCATTAACTATCTGTGCCCTGAATTCAAACAGCAGTCGCATGCTCTGGCGGCTTACTGGGGGCTTGGCAGCGAGCCAGCACTCATAGGCAAGAGGCATCGCCAGGAGGGCAGGGGGCTACCTTCATTGTTCCTCATGAGGGTGCCAGGAAAGAACCTTTCCCATCAGTGATGCCTGTGGGAAGCATGGAGCTCTGAAGACCTGGTAAAATTTCACTCATTCGACAAATAATTATCGACTGCTTACCCTGTGCCAGATGCACCTCTAGGCACTGAAGACAGTAGTGAAGAAGTCTGAGAAGGCTCCTACTTAAGGAGTTTACATTGTTAGTAGAGGAGGCAGATGGTAATCAGATAATCATATGAATGCATGCATAATTACAGACTCTTCTGCCACGAAGGAAACATACATGACATGAAAAGAAGACGACCTATCAGAAATATTTTAGGACTTGACCCGGAGTGCCTGGGAGCCAGTTCTCTGATTTGATAAGGAGACCCCTGAGATATCGATAAGGAACACCACAAGGCACCTCTTGCTTTTGCCCTGACGTACCCACGGCCTGCCCACAGCTGCCCTGTGCCAATGTGGACCCCAGGCCTGCAAGGCGGGCGTCTCCTCCTAAGTCATGGGAGGGAAGGAGGGAAGGCCATTGTGGCCTCCTCTGAGTACCGTTAATGCTGCATCTTCTAGGACAGGCTTCAGGGCCAGGCCGATAGTGTGCATGGAGCTGATGCATGAGGGTGAACTGTATGTTCAGTATTGGCCCTAACAGTTTTGCCAGTAACATCATAAGTGTAATAAAGGAAGTCAAAATGAAAGATGAGAACTTCTCTCTCAGTTTGCTTATCAGTTGTTTTCAGGTCTCAGGCATGTACATTCTTCTGGGCTGTAGCTATTTGGACATGAGTAACTTTTAGTCACTGATGAATGCACAGATAACATTCTCTGTTTCACTTTTTTTTTGTTATAATGTTTGAAGAATTTTTCCCCTATTGCTACATAAATTCGTACACAATTATTTATGCATTTTATATATTATTACGTATTACCTTGTGTTTTTAAATTAATATTGTGATATATGTATATTTTATTTACTAAAGTTTTTTTAATGTTTATTTATTTTTGAGAATGAGACAGAGAGCGAGTGGGGGAGGAGCACTGAGAGAGTGAGACAGTAACTGAAGTAGGCTCCAGGCTCCATCCAGTCTGTCAGCACAGAGCCTGATGCGGGGCTTGAACTCACGAACAGGCTCGAACTCATGAACAGTGAGATCATGACCCAAGCTTAAGTCAGCCGCTTAACTGACTGAGCCACTCAGGCACCCTGTGTTTTCTTTTCTTTCCTTTTTTTTTTTAAGTTTATATATTTATTTTGAGAGACAGAGAGTGAGCAAGGGAGGGGCTGAGAGAGAGGGAGAGAGAGAGAATCCCAAGCAGGCTCTTCACGGTCAGCACAGAGCCCGATGCGGGGGCTCAAACTCATGAACCGTGAGATCATGACCTGAACTGAAGTCAAGAGTAAGACGCTCAACCGACTGAGCCACCCAGGAGCCCCTGAAATTTTCTTACCATCAGGTGGAGGTACGCTAGTATAACTATTTCCTTTTTGCTGAAAGCTTAGTTGTTAACCGTAGATTTTATAAATGTTTATAAAATGTTTTATAAAGAACAAATTTTATAATTCAATATGTGGATACAAAAAGAAAAATAGTTTTCTGTTTCAAAATTGTTTCTAAATGGATAAACTGTATATAAATGGTTTAAAACGTTTTATAAACATATAAACAAACCTTAGATTTCATAAATCTTAATAAAACGTTTTTTATTTATAAACATAAACAATTTTGAAACTGAAACTATTTTTTCTTTTTGCATGTGCATATTGATTTATAAAATTCATTCTTTAACCTACAAATCCTCTTTCTTTTTTAAAAAATTTTTTAAAGTTTATTTATTTTTGAGAGAGAGAGAGACAGAGCACAACCAGAGGAGGGGCAGAGAGAGCAGGAGACGCAAAATCTAAAGCAGGCTCCAGGCTCTGAGCTGTCAGCACAGAGCCCGATGCGGGGCTTGAACCCACAAACTGTGAGATCAGATAACAAACTCTGAGATTATTCCCCGAGCCGAAGTCCAAGTCGATGCTTAACCAACTCGGCCACCTAGGCGCCCCACCACAAATCCTCCTTCAAACTTCATCACAACTGTGGAAGGTAGGGAGTCATTTACATGTGAGGAAAACAAAATATATCATCTTTTTCTCCTTTCAATTATTTTTTCAGTCTTATTTCCTGGAAGTATGATAACTTAGTTGAGGGGCATAAGCTCTTAATTCTATGACCTGGTTACTTTCTACAAAGGTTGAGTTAATTGCCACTGCTCCCTCAAAATATACCAATTCTAGTACAATCTATCCAGCAATGAGTATTATCATTTTGGAAACTGCTGGCTAATTTTAATCCTAGAAACTAGCATCTTAACATGCCAGTTTCCCCTTTTGGGTTTTCATCATAATTGGGATGAACTGGAATTCAGAATTTTATATGCTTGTTAATCATTTTTTTCTATTTTGTGATTTGTCCCTTCACGTCGATTGCCTGTTTATTTTGAGAGGCTCTTATTCTCTTTACCCTTTGTACAACTTGACTCTTTTTTCTTTTAATTACACCATTTTCCATTGCAGACAAGCGGGAATTTCCATGCAAGTGACTATTCAAGTTTTCTTTTATTATTTTTCTGCATTCCATCAGAAAGAAGAGTGAACTGACAAATATAGAATTCTATTTTTAGCTTTTTGAAATTATGTGTTTGTAGTATTTTCCCAACTCTAAGAGTAATGCATATATATTTTAGAAATTTTGGAATATGCAAAAAATTGTAAAAGCTGAAGACATTATTCTACCATCCAGTGTTGTCTTTTTTGTTTTTTCTAGTCCTTTCTCTCTCTCACATGTACATTAAAACTTTTACTTTTTGGATTTGATTAGAATATTAGGTACAGTTTTACAACCTATTTTTCCAGTGAGCATTATACCGCTAGGAATTTCACAAATCGTTAAGTATTCTTTGATAATAAATAACTTTTAAAAATCTGTCTAGAGTATATTTAGGGATGAGCTGAATCTTCTCTTCCCAAATTGCTAGTTACCCCTAACCCAGTGACTTTTCTTTCCCCGGTTGCTCTGTGGTGCCTGCTGTATCCTTCTAGCATGTTCTTATCTAGTATAGCTCTGTTTCCAGGCCTCCTCTGCTGTTCCCCACCCTGAGCACAGCACCTGTAATGGGCTTTTGTCTCTTTTGTGTTTCTTTTTTTGAGCCCTCGGAGCTTCCTGGATCCAACCAAAAGACTCTCAGAGGTTCCTGACCGCCTTGTTAATCGTTAACCCTGCCCCTCCTGGAAACCAGCCCTTACCTCCTCTTTTTTTCTTTCTTTCTTTCTTTGTTTTTTTTTTTTTTTTTTTTTTTTTGTCTTTGCAGATGTTTTTTGATCATCCGGAGAAAAATGAGCCTTGGCCTCCAGACCTAATAAAGCAAACATTCCTCCCATGGAGAATAGCGCTGGTTCCTGAGGACCCGGCCAGGGACCCGGCGGGCCTGCAGCCCCAGGGGGATTAGCCAGAAGCAGGTAAGGAGACCCGGGAGCCTGGGCGGTGGAGCCTCTAAGGGGCGCAATTCCTAATTAAGAAATGGGCTGCTAGAGTCTGGAGCCAGGAGTTAGGGGGCCTCGACGTCTCACTGCAGCTTCACTCTTTTCCTCACATGTTATGTGTTTACTTCTGATGGGTGGGAAGAGATGGTTTACCTGTTTTTATAACTGGTAAGTGTGAGACTGGATTCAGTTACTCTGTGATTCAGTCCACCTTTTTTTGAGCACCTGCTTTGTGCCAAGTCCTGCCTTTGGTACTGGGCACATAGTGATGAGTAAACCAGGGCCGGAACCTTACTTTGACTGGGGTTTTCTTACTGCTGGTTTTAGCGTTGGTGTGTTCTTTTTATTTTTTATTATTTAAAAAATAATTTTTTTAATGTTTTATTTATTTTTGAGAGAGAGAATGAATATGAGTGGGGGAGGGGCAGAGAGAGAGAGGGAGACACAGAATCCGAAGCAGGCTCCAGGCTCTGAGCTGTCAGCACAGAGCCCAACGTGGGGCTCGAGCCCAGGAGTCATGAGATCATGACCTGAGCTGAAGTCGGCTGCTTAACTAACTGAGCCACCCAGGCGCCCCTGGCTTGTTCTTTATTGGTGGTAATGTGGGTTGTTCCTGTTCTTCTAGAAGCCCAGTGGGGGGGGGGGGGTAGTAAGGATTTATTGGTCTAATCCCATCAGTTCAGTAAGCCTTTATTGACTACCCAGTCAGTTTCAGGTCCTGCACTGGACACGGGGTTTCAGGAATGAGCCAGGAGGAGTTCCCCTCTCGCAGGGGGTCAGCAGGAAAAGCAAGCATTGCTTACTTAGCACCTGATACAAACCAGAGGGGGTTCCGTGGGAGGACAGAAGCAGAAAGGTAACTCTGTCTGGTTGCCAGGCAAGTGGACAAGGGGGAGACTACAGCAGTGCCCAGGCCCAGGGGCTAAGACCTCTGGAAAATCCAAAGCTTGGTGTGTTTCCCCGGGGAATCAGGGGAGAAAATTTTACTACTCCTTCCGTTCAGTTGGGCTGCTTAGATGGATCTGCTTCAGTCCCTGTCTCTTTACAGCAGCTGGAGAGAGGAAGAAGGGTCTTGAAGTTCTCTGTGTCCATGACCAGACACTCTAGCCAGACTTTAGACTTGGAGGCCGAACAGATGGTGGTGTCAGGAGACCTGGGGAGCCCTGAGAAGTGCCCTAGGGCCATGACCCTATGGGCTGAGGCTGTCTTAAAGTGGCAGGACTGTTGTGCCGGGCTCTTCGCAGGAGCTCCTCTCTTCTGGGACCCTCAGCCTTAGGAGAGTAGGTGACGGCTGGAAGGTGACCACCAGCTCCTTCCAAGCCTCAGCTCCTAGACCGTGATTCAGGTCCTGCCTCCCTACCTCCTGTTTCATGTCACTCACACTTAGAAGTGTTAAGTCCCAACTTAACCGCATTGCCTCCAAATCACGCGTGCAACTTTGGAAATTCTTCCTTCCTTTTTTCCCTTTCCTTCCCTTTCCCTTCCCTTCCTTCTTTCCTTCGTAAAACCTCAGTTCTCTTAACTATAAATGGAGCTCATATGATTTACTGTGCTTACCTGACAGGGTTATCGTGGGCCTTATAAGCCTAATTCCCCGTGAAGGGGCTGCCTGAGGGTAAAACAGTGCATACGGGTCAGGGCTGGGGCATTGCTGATGGCAAAGGTGGTTCTTCGGTTATTGTCTGGTGGATTGAGTTGTCCCTCTAGGGATCCTGATTTCTGAGTTCTGTTTGGTCAACACTGACATTCCATTGTTTTGTTTGTTTGTTTGTTTGTTTGTTTTTTAACACAGATGCCTATCTTTTAGTGGGAAGACCATAAACTTTTAGAGTCAGACAGACCTAGGTTGGAATCCTGGTTCCAGCACTGACTACCACTTGACTTTGGAGAAGCCCCGTAACTTTGCTAAGCATCAGTGTTTTCATCTTCTCAAATGGGGCTGTGAATATCTATCCCAGGGTGTTATAAGAAAGATAAATGTAGACATTGCAGGGGTGCCTGGGTGGCTCCGTCAGTTAAGTATCTGACTTTGGCTCAGGTCATGATCTCAAGGTTCATGAGTTTGAGCCCTGTATTGGGCTTACCACTGTCAGTACAGAACCCACATCAGATCCTCTGTCCCCCCTCTCTGCCCCTCCCCTGCTTGCGTGCATGCATGTGTGTGTGTGGGGTGTGTGTGTGTGTGTGTGTACGCGCGAACACACTCTGTCTCAAAAATAAACAAACATCAAGAACAAAGTAGACATTGCAACTAAAGTGCCTACCATATTGGAGGCACTTTAAAAATGCTCCTTTCCCTTCTTCTTGAGTTCTTTATTTATTCTAGTCATGTGATCAGCTGGGCTGAGTGTCTGAGGAAATTGAATTCTTTGGTTTCCCGACATGTAACAAGGCCCTTCCCGATTTCATGATCATAGGTTTGAATTTTTCTCCCTCTTGTGTACATTTCGTCACTTCCAAAATGTCCACAGCCCAAGGCGAGAGCCCGTGGCCTCCTACGGTCTGGGGGGATGGGAAGCGCTGTTTGGTTTTACTCCCCATGGGTTCCAGGAACGGCCTGGAAGCCGCTTACGTTAAAAGGTCTCAGATGAGGACCTGAAGCTCAGGTTGATGAGTCCTGGCCAGTGTTCCAGTCAGCTGTTTCTCCCCCATCCGCCATGGCCTCCACATGGCCCTCAGCCAAGGGGCTGCTCTCTGGTCTCTGTTCAGAACATTTCCTGTGCCTTAGCAGTGACCTAGTTCAAACACCATTTTTCCTGGTCCTCCGAGTAGTTCATGAATGAGAGAGGGATTACTCTACAGAAGCCTAGGTGCAGACGGGTTCAGTGACTTGCCCAAAGTCGCCAAGCATGGAGAGAGAAGCCAGGTTTTGTGAATACCTAGTCCAGTACTCCTTTTTTTTTTTTTAATTAATTTATTTATTTTTGAGAGAGAGAGATAGAGACAGTATGAGCAGGGGAGGGTCAGAGAGAGAGGGAAACACAGAATCTGAAGCAGGCTCCAGGCTCTGAGCTGGCTGTCAGCATAGAGCCTGATGCGGGGCTCGAACCCGCGAACCGAACCATGAGATCATGACCTGAGCTGAAGTCGGCCGCTTAACCGACTGAGCCACCCAGGCGCCCCTAGTCCAGTACTCCTACCTCTTGTCCCGGGTGTCCTTAGCTCTGGGTTCCATGGGAAGGAACTATATAGGCCTCTCGTGGGTTAGCAGATCCCCTGGGGGATTGCTTAGACTCATTATGGTAAATAAACCCAGTTATTTAGGAAAGAATCTAATGTTTTCCAAAAGATACAGATCATTGTTTGAGTTCAAAGTACTTCCATTTGGCATCTAGTTACACAATTAATTCCGGGAAAGCAAAGTAGGTCTTTATCCAGGTATAAAGGAGGAATATTAGGCTCTGTGTGTGTAATAAAATCCATTTTTCCAGAACTTTCAGCAGTTTGGTGCATGTTTATAGTGAAAGGGATATGGATTATGGAGTCCAGTGCCCTTGGATTTTGAACTTCGATGCCACCATTTACTCAGCTTTGTGATCCTAGGCACTTCTCCTAACCTCTCAGAGCTTCAGGTTGCTAATCTATGAAAATGGAGATTATAACACCTTCATGGCTCATGATGGTCAAGGCCTCTCTGCATAGCTCAGGAGATGCCCTTCATATTAGACAGTTGTGTACGTGCTACTGGCTAGGGTTGTGCATCACAGTGGCCCTGGCTCACGGCAAAATTAGATGAAATAACATGTATGTGCTTCATGCATCTTTGTTTTTATCTCCTGAAATGGTTACGTGTCTGCTGTCTTATCAAGATTTCCTCTCCTTTACCATGAGGTGAGTCAGCTTCCTGCCACTTGATACTATTCTTGCAGGACCCTCCGTGAAACTGAATGTTACGTTGCAAGCTAAGCATTGGTGGTCTTCTCATACAGGGGCCCAACACTGAAGTCCTTAGAGAGATGCACCACAGGTCTGTCTGTCACAGCCGCCGTCTGTGGACAGAGGTCTCTTCCTGGAAATTTCTTTTTAAAGTTTATTTATTTTGAGAAAGAGAAACAGAGGGCAAACCATGAGATCATGGCCTAAGCTAAAATCAAGAGTCAGACACTTAACTGACTGAGCCACTCAGGCACCCCTCTTTCTGGCAATTTTGACAGGACGCTGGGCCCCTTAGGGTTTTAGGGAGTTTGATCTCTTGTGATGTAGACTAGTCACCTTGCTCTTGCCTGTTCTGTTAGTTTTTCAAGCATGCACGCCTCCACTTAGCAGACAACATAAGGCCCTAGGAACCCAACGAGGTGTAAGATAAGGTTCCTGACCTCACCTAGCTCAAGAGTATAGTCAGGGAGCTAGACCAAGTCAACGCAAAACCCAGACTCAGGAGTGGTAGGAGAATACAGAACGTGTTCATGGTTCAGAGAGGAACAAGGGGGTGTCTTGAGGACTGCTGTCTACATTCAAAGCCCAAACTGAGGCCGAATGTTTACTTCAAGCTGCTGTGAGCCGTGGGCCTGGCCGGGGGGGAGACCAAGGCCAGAAATGAGTCTCCTCACTCCGAACCCACTGCCCGGGCTCATCTTCCCACCTCTTGGCAGTCATTACTTTTCAGTTTTGTTTACATAATTTTTGCCTCGTTCTTACCTTTTTTTAGGCCTGTTGCCTGCTCAGAACACAGTGGCTGCCTTGGACACATATTTCATAATGATTCACACCAACTTGAAGAAAAAGTTCAGCTGCTGTGTGCTGGCCTTTCTCCTGTTTGCAATCATCTGTGTGTGGAAGGAGAAGAAAAAGGGGACTTACTATGATTCCCTTAAGTTGCAAAGCAAGGAACCCCAGATGTCGAGGGGTCTGGAGAAACAGCCTGAGACTCCAAGCAGCACCCAGGACCCCCACAGGGGCAGCCAGGCCCTCAGCAGCCCCCGGGTCACAACCAAGGTCAAGCCAGAGGCCTCCTTCCAGGTGTGGAACAAGGACAGCTCTTCCAAAAACCTTATCCCCAGGCTGCAGAAGATCTGGAGGAATTACCTGAATATGAACAAGTATAAAGTGTCCTATAAGGGGCCAGGACCGGGGGTCAAGTTCAGTGCCGAGGCCCTGCACTGCCACCTCCGGGAACATGTGAACGTCTCTATGGTCGAGGCCACAGATTTTCCCTTCAACACGTCTGAGTGGAAAGGCTTCCTGCCCAAGGAGAACATTAGGACCAAGGCTGGGCCATGGGGCAGGTGTGCCGTGGTCTCATCAGCAGGATCTCTGAAGTCCTCCCAGCTTGGCCGAGAAATAGGTGGGTTCTGGGGTGTTAAGATGATCCGAACAGCTAGCACCCCTATGGAGCTAGGTATGCGGACGGGACTGGGGAGGAGGGGCCCAAGCATGGCTCTGTGGCCTGGCAGAGCGGGCCCACCCCAGTGGTTTTCAGCCTTGTAGGAGTCGGAGGTCCCAAAGGGCAGCGGAAAGGGTGGGAGTCCAGCTTGCTGGCATCTTTATCAATGAGAACAGCTGTGCTTGTCTCTTTTTTACCAATTAATAAATTAAGTTCATTTTAGAGAGAGAGAGAGGAGGAGCAGGGGAGAGGGGCAGAGGGAAAGAGAGAAAATCCTAAGCAGCCTCCACACTCCGCACAGAGCCCAACGCAGGGCTCGATCCCACAACCCTGGGATCATGACCTGAGCTGAAATCAAGAGTCGGACGCTCAACCTACTGAGGCACCCAGGCGCCCCTGCCAGATTTTATTATAAAGCTACAGCCACTGTAGGTACAAGAGCAGAGGGGATGAGTGTACAGGCCTTTGAGTCAAAGGACCCAGTTTCCAGGGCCAGTCTATTGTTTGCCAGTTGTGTAATCTCTGAGCCCCAATACTTAGCTCATCAGTTAAATGGGAACAATAATGGTCCCTACATCACAGGGTTACTGGGAAGATTTAAAAGCAAGGCATGCTGGGCACTCAGCAGGTGCACAGTAAGTGTTACTCCTGTTGGTTATAATGTTTTAGAAATACGCTGTTGTTGGAAAGGAAAATTCAAACACATCTCAGATACCTTACATGGATATGTATCAAAAACATTTGCAAATTACTGTGCCCGCCATTGGCTGCTGTGAGGTTTGAGCCTGGAGGCACCAGAAAGTGAGTCTTGTCACCATCCCTCTGGTAAACAATTTTGCAGCGGACAAAAAAGGAGCCATGTAACTTACCTTACTTTGGTCTTCTAGCCCCACTGCTGTGGCTCTTTCCCTGCCAGTCACTTACATTGTCTGCACAGAAACCCTGTGAGCAGTGCAATTTGTAGGAGCAAACCATTCGAAACCATCTAATATATTCAATAGTGGAGAATAAGCTGGACAAATTCCAGGTATATGGGAAGGCTATGGGCCAGGCATGCTGCCTTCAACAAAAGGCCTTTCCCCTCTCCTTCCCCTCTGTAGTCTGAACTCTGCTTTGTGTTGTTAATAGATCCATGAATGAATAGAAGAATGAATGAGGGGCGCCTGTGTGGCTCAGTCAAGCATCTGACTCTTGATTTCCCCTCAGGCCATGATCTCACAGTTGAGATCCGCCCTCTCTTTGGGCTCGGTACAGACAGTGCTGAGCCTGCTGGGGATTCTCTGTCTCTGCCTTCCTGCTCTTTCTCTCAAGATAAATAAACTTAAAAAAAAAGTTTATAAAGAATGAATGAATCCCTTAAAACATTTATTAGGCTAAATGCCCAGAGGAAATGCCCTGTTAAAAGGCAGAGCATTTGAAGTCCAACATGCAGTGTCTGTGATGTCTCAGGATCAAAGTCTTTCCAGGGAGATACACACTTGAAATGATAACTCTATAGAAAAAGGTCATTTTAATGTTTATGCAGATCACTCCAAACTTTTATGGAGTGCATAAAAATAAACGTTGCGGTTCCAATTCACAGAAGTATCGGGCTCTCCCTGAAACTGCAACATAGTTCTGCCCAGGCAGACGATGATGGTTTAACGTGAAGAAGAGCATCAGGTAGCATCTGGGCTATTCTAAACGTTACCACTGTAGAGCAGACATCAGGAAGAAAGAAAGGACTTTAGTTCCATTCTGGATGCACAAAAACCAACCACACTGAGTTTTTAGCAAACAAAGCCCGCAAGAAACCAAAAAGGTAGCAGCACAAGGTGGGGTGGGGCCAGTGACCTTGGCAGCTTTTATTAGTAAGTGCTGCCTATTTGGGGAGGTACAAAATGTGATCTCACCACTCCTTTCTGCTGCAGAGAATCCAATTTGGGTCCACTTCTCTTCCTTTGAGAGCCTGAGCTTGGTTTCAGACCATTTTTCCTGGCAGTCGTGTGAAGGGAATAAAAAAGGAGACGTATGACCTCACCTGCTCCAGGACCTTCCAGAGCCTCACAGAAGAAGAAGGCTTCCTGTGCTTTGCTTTCTTTAGCCTGATTCATTTCACAAGGGTGGAAAACATATTCTCTCAAAAGGAAGGAACTAAGGAGCCTTAAGCAAATCCATGTCTTTGTGTCGCACACATATTTATAAGTATGGACAGGCTCTCCCTCTTTGTTAACAGTGACAGATTTCGTAAAACAAATTGATATATTCTGACCAGTGACTTTTCACCTTTTTGGGGTCACAAAGACCTCTGAGAATAATTGGCTGGAAGCTATGGACTTCTCTCTGGAAAAATGCATAGACTGATTTCACACACACACACACACACACACACACACACACACACACACACTTTATACATACCTACCCCACAGGTACTTTGCACATGATTTTAGGGATTCATGAACCCCATAAAGTTGGTCCACAGTCCCCAGGTTAAGAATTCCTACTCCAGTAATGATTTTCATACAGAGAGGCTGAAAATTATTCAGGTAGGTGAGGCTGAGAGAGATAATTAGTCCTCAACTAATCAGTGAAATTACAGCATCTCAGGACCTGAAGATACAGTAGGAATCAGTGCTTCTGTTATTTTTAAAGGTCTATTATAGTGTTGTGCTCATTGGTAGTGACAGAAGTCATTTTTCCAACAAAATCTCAACACCAGTCTTTAAAACAGAGACAGCAGGGTGCCTCGATGGCTCCGTTGGTTGAGCGTCCAACTCTCAAGTTTGGCCCAGGTCATGATTCCAGGGTCTGGGACTGAGCCCCGTGTCGGGCTCCATGCTCAGCATGGAAACTGCTTAAGATTCTCTCTCTCTGCCCCTCTCCCACTCAATCACTCTCTCTCTCCCTCAAATAAAAAAATAAACTAAAAATTTTCATGTGATGAATCCCTTGTCAGGTTAAAAAAAAATCCTTTGATATTCTGGCTTCCTTGCTCTCCGACAGAAGAGCATTCTGAGTTGAGAACTTACAGGGGAAAAGTGCCACGACTTTCTGAGCAGTGATCATGGTGGCCGGTCTGATTTGAGAAGAGGCAGAAATTGGTGTCTAACTAAAAATTACCTTGAGTGACCGGCAGGAGCCAGAGTTTTTAGCCTGGGAGCGGACCCTCTCGTATCACAGGGGAGCCTGTTTCTGGAAAAAGACACATGCTGTCTTGGAAGTGCTGAGTCTCACGTGTTTGTGGAATGCCCTGGGCAGATATCTATGCGGTTGGGTATCAGATTCCGGGGAAGGGTCAGGGTGGGAGATCAGATTGAGGAGTCCTTTGTGCTGAGGTCATAGTTTAGTCCAGAAGAGAGGGCTGAGGAGAAAACCTAGAGAAAGATTACATTCAAGAGATGGAGAGAGGAGCCTGGGTGGCTCAGTGGGTTAAACGTCCGACTTTAGCTCAGGTCATGATCTCATGACTTGTGAGTTTGAGCCCCACATCGGGCTCTGTGCTGACAGCTCAGAACCTGGAGCCTGTTTCAGATTCTAGGTCTCCCTCTCTGTCTGCCCCTCCCCCACTCATTCTCTGTCTCTGTCTGTCTGTCTCTCTCTCTCTCAAAAATAAATAAACATTAAGAGGTGGAGAAAGAAAAGGGAAGGCGGAGACATTCAGAAGGCCAGTGAGAAGGACCAGGGAGAACCGGGTGTGTGTCATATGGAAGGCAAGGGGAGTGGAGTTTGGGCAGATTCTGGGCAGATGGAGCTTTAGTGTAGAGTGTTGTTTTTTTGTTTGTTTGTTTGTTTTTTTGAGAGAGAGAGAGACAGCATGAGCAGGGGGCGGAGAGAGAGGGAGGCACAGAATTCGAAGCAGGCTCCAGGCTCTGAGCTGTCAGCACAGAGCCTGACGCAGGGCTCGAACTCGAACCGCGAGATCATGACCTGAGCTGAAGTTGGACGCTCAACCGACTAAGCCACCCAGGCTCCCCTCTTTCTCTCATTCTAAGTTAGCCAGAAGTGGTGGCCCCTGTTTTCTGCAGCCTTCTCCCTGCAGGGCTCATTTGCCAGGCTCCCGGTAGCTGGGACTTCCTGGACACCTGTTTGATTTCTGAACTTCTTCGCCTTTGATCGTAAAGCACAGTTTGGCAAACGAAGATGCCATCCTCTTTCTTTTTTTTTTTTTTTTTTTATTTTTAATTTTTTTTTTTTTAATGTTCTATTTATTT